GTGGACAAAGACGTGTGCGGCCTAGCATTGTCCTGCTGGAAAATGACACCTTTACGATCGACCAATTCTGGTCGCTTTTCCTTGACCGCTGCATTCAAGTTGTCCAGTTGCTAACATTCACGGATAATAAAAAATAACATAATAATAATAATAATAATTTTATAATATAACATTTACGGATATCATAAAAATGGGAGTGAGAGACATCTATAACTGAAATCGGCAATTACTTAGTTGCCAACCCAATATATTATCAAAACCTCCTCGTTGAGACTGAAGCTAATCCTTTTATTGGTTTCAATATTAACACTATGCCGTCCGCTGGCACCACGCTGGTGCCATGCAAAAACTATCTGTTGTATGCCGGTGATACCACTTTGGTGCCATTTTAGAAAACTGAAATAACATTTGAACTATATTTCTTGGGTGTTAAAAAAGTCAGCAAGCTAACTATAGCATTGTGGTCGCTTTTCCTTGATCGTTGCATTCAATTTGTCCAGTTGCTAACATTCACGGATAATAAAAAATAACATAATAATAATAATAATAATTTTATAATATAACATTTACGGATATCATAAAAATGGGAGTGAGAGACATCTATAACTGAAATCGGCAATTACTTAGTTGCCAACCCAATATATTAGCAAAACCAATTGTTGTTGTCATAATTTGTAAAATAGTATTGCAGATATTTGTATTATATTATTGTGTTTTTATTCTGGTCACTTTTCCTTGACCGCTGCATTCAATTTGTCCAGTTGCTAACATTCACGGATAATAAAAAATAACATAATAATAATAATAATAATTTTATAATATAACATTTACGGATATCATAAAAATGGGAGTGAGAGACATCTATAACTGAAATCGGCAATTACTTAGTTGCCAACCCAATAGATACCTCTTGACGCTTATTCAATTTATCGAGTACCGTATTTCTTTATATTGAAATATTTTTTGATTGAAACATTTAACACTAAACCTACCAAGCAGTGATACTAACTGGCGTGTACTGCTTCTCGCAAAAGTGAGAAGACCTAATTTATTTGCAATTCGTGGAAGTTTTTATTATAAAACTTCCTCCAATAATATATTAGGTTTACAGGAAAGTTCTGTCTGATAATGTCATTGCAAATTTCGATAGGTACGCACATGTTCATTTGAGACATATATTTTTGAACAATGTTGCTCACAAATTGCCATCACGCTGGCAAGAGGTCATAGGTAACGACGGAAATTATACTGTACAATAAATATTACTAAATTTATGAAAAATCTATTATTTCCTTTCATTTCTGAAACGGACAGAACTTTCCGGTAGACCTGATGACTTATTCAAGCGTTTTCCACGAAAAAGTCTCGGAACTTTGCAGAATTGCAAAATAAGAAAGCGGTCACTTTGACCGCGATAGGTTTAGTGTTAAATAGAAAAATCAAATGACAAATCTATTCGTTAACACTTGATTTACCGGAAGCCTATTAACAGAATTTTCATTTATTGAAATTTTTAGATAATGTTACTCGATCTTGTTACTAACGTCTGGTTGGAACACGATAGAAACGGTTAGTGTAATTAAACAATTTATTTGGAAGTTCTTCACCATAAATTATAAACTATTTTGAGTACAAAAATAGGTGGTGGGAAGTTTGAAACATGGATATGTGACGATTAGAAATAACTGCTTTATTTAATTTTGTCGTTTGAGATATGATATTACAGCAAAAATTAATTATTTTTTAGATTAGTGTTAAGAAATCACACACTATTTCGTTCTGTGAACCATCGCGCAGCATATCGGTCCGAATCGAACAAACCCTGGAAGTCTGAAACTCTATTGTTGCAGAAATATTGTACGATACGCAATAATCGCTTGACCAATCTCTACGAGCGACGACATTTTCTTTCGTATCATTTTTATTTCGTTTCGCCCTATGTATCGCCTTTTCTCGCGCTTCTCTCGGTTTCGCCCGTGAACAAACGAATGATAAACGAACATGAAAACGAAAGCACGTAACATATCGTGTACATACGATACGATGTAGAACGTAAAGAAAATTCTGTCAATTTTTGTTTCCCGATTTTGTTCCTCGAGAAAAATGCTTGACGTCGCGATTGTTTTTCCTCGTTGCAGAACGGCAGCCACCAAGATGACGACGACGAAGCATTCTTCTGGGATCCGGTGTCCACCAAGAACCGTAATTCGAAAAACCAGAATCGGCAGCTGCAAGAACAACTGGCGCAAGCCGCCATGAGGATACGCGAGCTGGAGACCAAATTGGAGACTAAATTGGAGACCGAATTGAAACGCGTTCAAGTGGTAAGATATCGGACCGCGTTCGTACCTTTTCGAACACGTCGGTTTTACTTTACATTCGCTTAGAAAGAAAGCACAATGCCGTTGTCCCCAAATAAATAGCTCTTTACATTATTCGAAAAGAATTTTTCCGAGATTCGATGGCCACTCTTGCAACAATATGCGCGCCCTTCTTCCTTTCTCTCCCCCTCGTCGATCCTCCTTCCCCCCTGGCCGTTTAATAATCACGTTGCTCGTTTCCTCTGTCCCACTAATTATTGCGACCATAAAAGACACGATTACGATTGTAATTGTTTGGAGATAATTGCATTTAATTTTAACCGCGCGCGCCCGACCGACCGGGGCGGACCGTTTCACGCATACGTGCACGTGACGACGCATGTCGTTACGCGTTATCGTTAATCGATATCGTATCGTTCTGGCATATCATTGAACCTGGCGCATGCTCTTGCACGCGTTATTGGCCGAAATCACGAGACCGAATTCGGTTCGCGACCGATCGAAACCGAATATACCGTATTATTATTATTATTATTATTATTATTATTATTATTATTATTATTATTATTATTATTATTATTATTATTATTTCCACTTTGTTCGACCGTCGATCCAGAGATTTCATGGCATATCTCATAACGCATATTTCATGCGATATTTCATGCGATATTTCGTTTCCCGAGAAAACGTTCTGAGGAAGGTCTCGTTTCACGCAGGTGACCAATTCCTCTCTGAAAGACGATCTCTCCGACGGATATCAGACAGGAGAATTTCTGCGAGCCAAGCAGGACATGGTGAACCGTATTATACAAATGGAGGAAAAGGTAGAACGTGGCAAACAAAAAAATCACGTTGAATTCGAACGCGGTTTAAATCCGGAATAAAAGCCTTCTTCCGCACCTCGAAATGATTTTGTTTTTTCTTTTGTTTCGTTCGGATCGGTTCTGTTCGGATTTGATCAGAACCGAGAGGCAGAGAGGAACACGAAACGCGCACAGCCGGACGAAACGGCGTTGACCAACGATTTGCGCGCGGTGCTGTCGAAATTGAACTCCCTCGAGAAGCAGGATCTCGTGCGGTCCGCGTTGAGAGCGTTGGAGACCGAGAATCAGCAAAAGCGCAACGAGACCGGCAGGCAGGAAAAGTCCGTTTTCGAGGAGAAACATTCCAAGCCCGACAACAATTTCGACCAAAACGAGCTCGCCGGTTCGACCACGAGGTCCGGGTGCGACGCCGTCCCGAGCAACAAAGAAACGGAGTTCCAGAAGAAGATCGACGAGCTACAAGAAGAGAACCAGAGGCTGTTCGCGAGCGTCGAGGAGCTGGATCAGCAGCACGAGGAATCGATTCGTGAGTACAGAGAGAAAAGATCGAAACAGTGTTTCTCGAATTCGATTTCGAGGAAACTCTTGAACCTTTTAGGCACGACGCGCCACTATAGTGGCTTGCTCTAGTAGCTCACTCGCTCATCGTTCGAATCAAATAATCGTCTTCATATGCATTGTTTCACACTTCTTTTGCTTCACATCGATTTACAACAGACTGCAGGGTTTTCCAGAACTTTCAAGCAAAAACTGTAAGAAAAAAAAGTCTCGATATTTTATCATCTTACTCTGAAAAACTTGTCTATATATTTTTGTCTCTTTTTTGTATTTGCTATTCCTGCACACAATTTTGTGTTACACATTGTCTATCAAACTAGATCTTCTAAGATACCCCCAAAAATTCAACTCGTTCGGTCCAATCTTAAAAAAGCTTGAAAAAATGTCCATATACAAGGTGAGTCACAAATCAGTCCCCATTTCAACCCCTTCCGATCGCTTAACAAAAAAATGTTTCCCATCAAACTAGATTAGTAAACTTAACCGACATGAAATTTCAATCGTTTAACCTTTTAGGCATGACGCGCCACTATAGTGGCTTCCGCGGATGTCATCTTTCAGAACGACGCGCCACTATAGTGGCTTTCGCGGATGTCATCTTTCAGAACGACGCGTCACTATAGTGGCTTGCTCTAGTAGCTCACTCGCTCATCGTTCGAATCAAATAATCGTCTTCATATGCATTGTTTCACACTTCTTTTGTCTTCGCATCGATTTACAACAGTCTACAGGGTGTCCCAAAAATGTCTCGCAATCCGGAAATGGCGGGTTCCTCGGATCATTCGAAGCAACTTCTTCCTTTACAAAAATGTTCTCCGATGCACCGTTAACGAGTTATTAACGAAAAACAGTGACCAATAAGAATCGAGTACGGCTGACGCGAGGCGGCCCAGCCAACCAGCGCGCGAAGCCCAGTTCCGCTCATTGGCTCGATCGCCCCGCGCCAGCCGAGCTCGCCTCTCATTGGTCACTGTTTTTCGTTGATAACTCGTTAACGATGCCTCGGAGAAAATTTTTGTAAAGGAAAAAGTTGCTTCGAATGGCC